ATGTAAGCAAGGCCTGACGTTGGAGGAATGGAGAGGAGGCCAAAGTGACCAGAGCAGTTGGCGGTAGAGAAATAAAGGGAAACGTCTAGCCTTTGTAGACCATTGCAAGGATCCGGCTTTTACTTTGAAATGGGAACCTTTGGTAGAGTCTTAACAAAAATGGACGTTATTGGCTACTGAGTCATGAGAGGGCCAAAGGCTGAAGCAGGAAGAACCAGTTAGGAGACTATTGCAGGGCCCGAGTGAGACAGGATAGGGGTAGGACTCAGTTATGTCCCTCACCACCTGAAATATAACCATCTTCCAACAACGCTGCATCCATTCCAGCTCCAAACCAGTCAGGAGCAAGGAGCGTCCAGACCTAACCACAAGAGACCTCCCATTCTGCCCTGTTAGGGGCTTCCTCAACCTGCACAAATGACCAGAACAGCCGAATGCCACTGATCTGGGACCGTCTTGGGGTAACAGTAGTAAGCAACAGCCATTTTAAGTGTGTTGTATGCCCCCCCCAAAAAAAAAAAATCAATGGTGCCTGCACACAACACTGAGGTGGGTGCAGATTTAACCATCATTTGCCAATGAGGAACCAACACAGCTCCCCAGACCCATAAAAGCACCGCTCAGTTCCTATAGGAGAGACAGTACAATCTCTTTCCACCGTGCTGTCTCCCTTGTATTCAAGACTAAGCCCACAATAAAACCAGCCCAGTTTTAAGTTGGCCTCTTGTCAGTTCCTATTTGCAAGGGAGCCAAAGAACCTGGGGTGGGTAACAGCAGGTCTGAGTTGAGACCTTCCAGAGTTCAGAGGCCATGGAGAAAAGCAAGAATCAGCAACAGAGACAGGGAAGGAACAGTGGGAACGTGGCAGGTAAACCAGGTGGGAGTGTCGTCCTGGAAGCCAGGAGAGAGGGCCACGAAGCCAGATGCTGCTCACAGGTAAAGCAAGATGAGAACCAAGAAATGACCTTGGAGTTTAGCATCATGGAGGTCATGATGACATTGACAAGAACAGTTTCAGTGGAGCGATGGGGACGGAAAGCCTAATTGAAGGGGATTTGAGAATGGGAGAAGAGGACTTAGGAAGACGGAGTGTAGAGCACTCTTTTCACCATAAAGGTGCTACGTGTTATTTTTTAAAACCAGCAACTCTGACATTTTATTATTCCAAGTGGGCATTATGCCCTGGCAATCTGAATAAGTCCAATGTGACTTTAGAAAGCTCTCTTCCAAATCTGACAAAGTTTCATGAAATGGGTCTCAGCAGGTGTAAGTCTGGCACTGTCTTGAACTGAAGAAAAAAAATCTGCCTTCAGTGAATTTGCAGCTCAAAATATTTTAAGTTTTATAATCAAACTTCTACCTTGCAACTTCTCTCACTTTCACGCGCACACACACACACACACACGATGGCATCATAGTTCTCAACTGAATATTATAATTCATTATAAATAGCATCCACTCGAAATATTTCATTATTGATTTATAGTTAGTTCTTTTCTCATGCCGTAGCTCCATTTTAAAATGATGTCTCTCATTCCGTGGACATTTACCTGCCTTTGCTACTCGTAGGCACAGGTTCTCACAGTTTGGGCATTGAATCTCAGAAAACATGAAGCTTTGGATTACAAGTAGGACGGGGGAGCTGTCAGTAAAACATGTTAACCTCATGTACCTGAACAGGGTAGGGCCACGTTCATGCTCAGCACAATGGTTTGGTACTTGCATTGTCGTTTCATTTTGTTGCAGCATTAAAGCCAAGAGTCCTCTCCACCCAAGGGCAATGCCAGTTTCCCAGAAGGCTCATTTTTCAGAGCCAAAGCTCCAAAGATGCCAGTGCAACCCATGCTGATACTTGGTCTCATGTTATTTCTCAATTTTATGCGTAATTTGCTCCTTTTGGTTTTATGCATTTTGACACAGCCAAGTGTGTGTGGGGATTTCCCCATAGTCCTTTAAATGCTATAAAACTTTAATATAGGGAGATAAAAACAATAATAAGCCATGCCTCCAAGCCCTCACATTTAGTTCTTTATTTGAGTTTGACAATAACCAGTTTTAGATACTGACTTAGATTGCCAAGTACTTGCTCTGTTTTGTGCCTTTCCTTACCATCTTTCCCTACCCAAGTGAAAATGACATTCGACCCCAAACCTGGACATGCAACTCCCATTGGTTCCCAAGAAATAAAAAACTAGCATCTTTACAATTCTTAAATTGCTGTCCTGGTGGCCTATATCTTGCGTGAGCCAATGCAATCGAATGTGGTTTAGGATGAAGCCAAGATGGATGCCCACCCCCTAATTGTAGGCATGCAACCCTGGAATGTCTCCTGGAAAAAAATGAAGTAAGCTCCTGGTAGTCTGTTGGGTTTGTCTGTTTTCAGCATAATTGCTTCTCTCGCTTCCTAATACCCTTCAACCCTCTGAGAGTCTTTAATGCACAAAGTTCAACAAAAACACCTTCAGAACAGATTAGTTCTAATTATGTTTAATATTTGTTTGCTGCTTTATTGAATAAACTACGCTTGTCTTTTTTCCAAAAAAAAAAGGGGGGGGGAATTCACTTAACTGCATGCCAGTCTCCCAAATTTTAAGTGTACAAATGAAATGGAAAACATTTATTACACAAATTTAATTACAATTCTAGGAAATAAACATGCAAATCAGATAGAGTTCAATTTGCAGATGCTAATCCTCACCCTTGATCTTGCTCCTTTCCTCCCTGATTTTCAGGCTCTGCGCCTCCTTGGTTCCTGGGGAGCCAGGCAGCCAGAGGTTTGTCTTTCCACAGTCGGAGGATCACTGTTTTAAAGAAGTGTTATATTTAGCACATCTGGCGGAGTGCAGTAAACAAACATTACAGCCTCTGTAACACGTTCCTGCAGGTGCCTCCCCTCGGTTTTATTAGGTTTCTGCCTTCCAAGCCTCTGCGTTCATTACACCTGAAATGACCCATCTCGTCTACGGAGCGGTCCCCAGGCAGAAGTTACCAATTCATGTTTCCAACAACAAACTCCGATGGAGCCCAGCACAGGGGGAAATTGCCGTGAGCGAAAGAATGGGATTCTGGGGCTGCAGTTACGTTCTCCTGACCAAGGACAACCTCCTTTATTACTTTCTTTTTATTTCCTGGGGGTTTTCCCCGCGGCTCCCCACGCAGAATGAGTTGCCAATGCAAGCTGCAGCAGGACCTAGGCTGCTTTTTTTATACCTACAGATGCAGCCCAGGAGGGGAGCGGCGGAGCGGGCGGCGAGGGGAGCACACCGCTGGGTCCTGCACGGACATCTGTTTCTCATCTCGGTTTGCTGTGGCAAAGGAGAAGAAAGTCTTTTGCAAAGGGTGGGAAAAGCACAGATTTTTTTTTTTTTTTCAAGTCGCACGCACACACAATAACAGCCACGAAACTAAACCAAATAAAGACAGACACGACATCTCGGAAGGTTGCGGCGCGAATCCACGGCTCTGCTGGAGCCGAGCCCCCGGGGCCAGGGCGGGAGCCCGGGAGCGCGTGGGGTCCGGGCTGCGGGCTGGAGCAGGGCCCGCGTGTCCCCGGGCAGCGCGAGGGGAGGGGCGGGGAGGGGCGGCGGAGGGCGGGCGGGAAGCCGGGAAGGAGGCAGGGGCGGGCTGGGGTGGGGGTGAGGGGAAGGCGCCCCGTGTGCTTCCTGAGGAGCGGCGGCGGCGAAGGAGGAGGGAGCGCGGGCGCTTGTCATGTTCCCTCTCTCGCCCCGGGGGCATCCTGCACAGCCTCTCCTCGGAAATCCACGGGGAAATGGCAAACAGGATTGACGGGTTTCACGCGCTCCTAGCTAGACACAGCCGCTCATTACCATAACCGTCTGCAGCGACGGCGGCGCAGCGCCCCAGCCGCGGCGGGGACCTGCCGGGACCCTCGCCCGCCGCGCACCAGCGGCCACCGCCGACCGGGCCGCCGGGCCGGGACCCGCGCCTCTGTGCACCGGCGGCCGCGCTGGCGCCAAGCCCGGAGCGGACCAGCGGCCGCCGCCTCCCCGCTGACCCCGCGGTAAGAGCCGGGCTGAGCGCGGGCCGCGGGGGCGGAGGGCTGGGCGGCTCGGAGGGCGAGGGCAGGTGCCCAGGGGCTCCTGCCCGCGCGCCCCCGCCACCCTGGGGCTGCTCCGGGGCCACCGGGTGGCCTCGCGGCGGGCCGGAGCGGGACCCGGGCGCGGCGTGGGGGCCGGGGCACAGCTGCGCGCGGAGGCGGCGCGGGCTTTTCCCGGGGTTGGCGTGCGCCGCGGCGCCTCTCCCAGGGCGGGAACCGCCGCCGCCGCCTCCGGGGCTGCTTGCTCCGGCTGCCGCCCCCGAGCACGGAGCGGACCCCAGGGGCAGGTGCGGCCAGCAGCTCGCGGGGGGAGACCTGCGCTGGGTCTCTCCTCCTAGGGGACCGAGGTCCGCAGGAGGGAGGTCCCCAGATCTGGACGCCGCGGCGCACGGCAGGTGGGGAGGGAGGGGTTGTGGATGTCAGGAGCGCGCGTTTGCGAGAAAAAAGAATCGCCGCGGGAGCTGACACCTTCTGTCCCCCGCCACCTCCGCCCCCGCGCCCTCCTCCCAGGCAGCCGAGCCGCGCTGCGGGCGGCGGCGGCTCCTCTGTCCTCAGCTCACCTCCCCGGCGGGCTGGGGCTGCTGCCCGCCGGGTCCACGCCTCCGCCTCTCTCCCCCCTTCCTTCCCTCCCGCCTCCTGGGTCCCAGCAACTTTCCCGAATGCCCAGCTGCGGCCGCACCAGCTGGGCCGAGGCGGCCTCGGACCGCTGGGAGGTGCGCGCTCGGGGCGCTCGGCGGCCGCGGCTCCGGGTGGGATGGGCCGGCGAGGAGGGAGGCCGGGCCGGCATCTGCTGCGGGCTGGAGCGCGGGGCCCGGGCCAGCCTCGCCAGAGCCCTGCCAACCGCCGTGAGTCACTTCCTTGGAATCCTACCTTTGGTGTTTATTTCCCTTAGAAGGAAACTTGGTTTAAGAAAAAAAAAAAAAAAAAAGAAGAGGGAGACGAAAAGAAAGAATAATAATAGCTCTTATTCTGCAGGAGAGGCGCAGGGCTCTGGCACCGTGGAAAGACAACTTGCCTTTGTTCCTAGACACTTGGGGTGCTGGTGACTTTCACCCGCTGCCGACCGGGCGCAGCTCGCGAGCTGGGGCAGGGGCTCGGGGCTGCGGCGCTCGCCTCCGGGGGCTGGGGCTGTGTCCGAGCACAAGCCTGGACGCCGTAGCCGCTGCCCGCCTGCAGGGGATGGACCTTCCAAACCCAGGACCCTGACCTTGGGCCTCTGCTGGGAAAAGTCGGGGGCCAAGCCAAGCCTCGGACACCCCGACACCTCTCAGTGCTCCCTGGGTTCCAGCATAGCCTTCCCAACTCCACCGCCCAACCTGAAGCCCTCGGCCTCGCGGGGCTGGGGCAGAGAAATGCGCTTCCCAGGGCAGACAGGTGTACCGCAGGGACTGGCAGGAAAGCGACATCTGTCTGTTTAGAAGGGTTCAAGGCTGTCACTCCACCCACCGGCCCCTTCCAACACCGCCACGAGCCAGACAAGCTGTTGAGATTTTGTTAGGGACAATGTGGAGGTCAGGGGGCTGGTTCCACCTGGCACACGTGTGAGACTGCTGTGCTGGCAACCGCAGCCCAGCAGCTCCCCTGGGCTCCTGGGCTCCAGCCAGTGCTCTCTAACTGCTGTGATGCGCTTCAGAAATGCTGCCTGTTCTCCGAAGTCACAGGAGAGGAGAGAGGTGTGGGCACAAAGCGGCCAGAAGGGCCCCCCACCCCACCCCGTTAGAGTCCAGAGGCCACTAGCTCAGGGCTGCCCTGGCCAGTGTGCCAGCCGCTCCTGTTAGCACCACAGTGGCACCAAAGAACTGACAAGCCCAACTCTTCCGGAAGAACCAATGTGTATAGAAATGCCTGGTGACTTTGCTATGAACGTTTGCTGGAAGAACTTGACATTTTAGCCCCCAGTCTCCTGGGGATGTTTGAGAGGTCGTTCATTCCACAACATCCACTCGGGTGACAGAACAGACTCCCAAGCACCTGCTGGTAATTCTAAGCACAGACAAAACACACTTTGAACATCCTCCATTTGGATCTGCCTGCCTCTGCCGGTAAAGAAACAAATGTTGCCACCATCTATACCCCTGGGGCTGTACTTAATTGTTATCAGCACATGGAAATTTTAAAAATTAACAGCACATAAATTTGTGGTCTTGAACTTCTGAATTCAGCAGCAGAATTATAATGTAAATCTCATACAGGGAGTAATGCCAGTTTGGATTCCTCCATGTGTTACAGATAAAAATTCCCATGAAACAATGGTGCTTAGTACTGCACAGTCCAGCTTTTCATGAGCGTTAAACTTCCCTTCTTAATTTGTTAACATCCTGGTGTAAATTCTAAATAGACCAGGAAGACTCAATTGCAAAATCTCCTCCCCATTCTCCAGTAATCCCAACTCATTCATGTTTTATTCAGATTTACATAAATCACTGGCAGAACGCAGCCTCCCCAGTTTAGGATGTTGCGTGTAACCGGTTTCCAATTCAAAAAAAGGAAACCTTACCAAAATTAGATATTGTAAACAAAAGAAACAGGATAAAAACTATTATGTCACATTTCAAGTTCAAATGCATAATGATAGAATTTCATATGCTGGGGAACAAGACTAACACATACCAACTCTGGAGTCCGGGACAATCCAGAAAGCTACTCTTCAAAAGTCATTGAAATATAAACAAAGTGACCAACATCAAACAGACCAGGATGGAGGATGTCCTAGTAAACACGAGGAGCCTGCCTGAGAATGCTTTTCCTTCCTAAAGGGTGTGGGGTTATCAACCTGCTTTTGTTTATCTGTCAGAAAAGTTCTCCGCAGGCCAGGGCTTGGAAAAGTGAGTGCCAATTTCAAGCTGGATACTATGGTTGCTGCCAATAGGAGAGAGCTACCAACTGATGCAAACTGCTAGCAATAGCATTTTCTGATATGATCATCTCTTAGAATAGGATAAGACATCGGATTACCACATGAGTGTCTTCAAGGAATAAAATACCAGGAGGTTTGATGCCTTGCTTGGATATGAAGTTTAAGGAGTGGGAGAACAGCTAAGTTTGATAAATCAATGTTAGGTTAAATTTCTTGGCTGATGCCTCTGATTCTTTATAGAGAATTAATTGAACCTTTTTTTTTCTCTTTTGTGACAAGGTTTTCTAGTAAGCCCCTGCTGATGGCTCTGGGAAGAGCTTTGTGAAAGAGGAGGAGGCGGGTTAGCTGCCCAGATCAGCCCCCTTCTAGCCACTGACCTGGATGCTGTTCCTGTATGTCAGAAAGCCTGGCTTCATTCTTCACGGGTTGGAGCCACATTTGAAACCTGAGAGAGAGAGAGGCCTGGGGGAAAGATCGAGTCATTGCTGCCAAGAGCTGCTGTGTTAGCCCCAGCCCATTGTCACTTTAATGAAGCTGTTTGCCCTTCCCCTGGCGATTGCCAGCGTTTCCCTGGGAGTGGACCCTTGTCAAAGCATGTAGGTAATGATAGTCTCCCGCGAGACGATCAGAGAGGCCTCCGCAAAGCGACATGAGCTGTGTCATTTGGAAAAGAAAGCGAGAACCAGACCCTTGGTGTGTAGCTGAAAGACAGTCAATCTTCAGAAAGCCAGGCCTGACATCTCTTTGGTGACAGTTCTTTAAACTGCAAAGTCAGAGAGAGGAGGTTTGGTCTCCTAAGTAACCGGCTGCTCTGCTGGCCCCTCAGTCGTTTCGCTCTGATCGCAGACTTTCTTCTCCCTTGGGCTCAGTCCTCATCCCAGCTTGAGCCCAGCCTAGGACCAGGTGAAGACACGGAACCCCCAGGAAGTGTTCCCCCCCCCCATACTCCTACCACCACCGGCCCAGGTATGGGAGACCCAGGAGTGGGGCAGGGCAGAGGTGCCCAGCAGCCTGCTGGACCAGAGGAAGGGCGTGAACTGGAGAGAGGAGCAGCGAGGTGTTGCCTCTTGGAAAGTTCCTGCCTTGTGTCTGGGCTTTTGCAGTGTGAAGAGTTGTTGGCTGCCTCTGGCCCTGGAGCCCTGGCTCCTGTTTAATATTCTGCCTGCTCCGTTGATGTTGTGCTTGGCTCCTGTGGGACTGCAACTCACGGCTTGAAACTGGAGCCAATTTTCTGTCTTCATCTCGCAGTGTTTTGACTGGAGGCAGATCCAGTTCAGGCCGATCAGGGCTGGTGGAAACAACTACCAAGTGTCTCTGTGTCTGCCGCGCTCTGGGAGAAGCTGGAGGGAGCCCCAGAATGTTGGAGAGGAGCTGGCCTTGGCAAGCAGAGGAGGGGGGCAGGGGGCAGCGGAATACACTGAGCATCTGTTGGAATTACGGTAGAGGGTTCTGCCTCTCCACCCGTTTCTTTTGATTGATTAGCGGATTTCATCAAAGGAGACTCCCAGGGGATCGACTAGAAAATTGATTTTGCCTTATTAATAGAAAAGAAGCGCAAGGGTTTTGGCCCTGCCTCTTAGCGGTGCGTTTTCTGCGGGAAGGTCAGGAGGAAAATGTGTTTAGAAGGCAAAGCAGCTGTCTGGAAGAGGGCTGAGGGGAATCTGAGAACAATAAGAAGTGGGGTTTTAAAGAGCCGCCCATGAAACGCGGCTTGCCGAACACGGAGGCTGAGCTAATAGCAGCAAGAGTTTGCCGAGGTCTTCTCTGGAAAAAATAATCAAACGTTGCAGGGTGAAGGGGCGGACCAAGAAGTAAAAGTTTCCCAAAGCAAAGGGACAAAGATGCCAAGCCCGTCCCCTGGCCCGCTCAGGAGGAGCGCTATTTTCTTTCCCCTTTTTTCTTTCCAGATCTGAGGCTGTCAGCGATGACTCTGGTTCTGTCCATGAATAGATTCTGCGAGCCCATTGTCTCGGAAGGAGCTGCTGAAATTGCCGGATACCAGACGCTATGGGAGGCTGACAGCTGCAGAGGCCTGAGCCCCCCGGGGCCAGCCCAGGCTCCTTCGCAGGGAGACCGGGGGGCCGGGCCCCCTCTGGCAGGTATTCCCCCTTGATCCTCCTGTGCTGCCCTCTGCGGCCAGACTGGTGGACGGGAGGTGGTGGCTGGGGCGCGCTTCTCAGCCCAGAGCTAATGCTCTCAGGGCTTCCAGGGCTGCCCATGCGCCTCTGGAAGTGAGCCCAGGGCGCCCAGGGCATGATGGAAGTGATAGTTGAATCACAGTCCGACCTGCGTCCACCTGTGCCCCTGCTTGCATCTAAGTCGTGCATCAGGATTTTTGAACCAAACCAAATATTGAAACTCTGGGCTTGGTTTTGGGTTTTCTACCCTGTGGTCTGTAGGGTTCTCTCAGGCTGCGCAAGCCCTGGTGGGCGTGACAATGAAACCTGTATCCTGTGAGATATCCAGCTATATGCCTCTTCTCTTCAGAAGTATGCCGTTGGTGCTGGTTCTTGCAGGGGAACAATTTTAAAGCCAAGAAAACAGAAACGTGTTCTTTCTGATCTTTTACTCTTATAGTCTAAGACAAGTTAGTTTGGACTTTTGTGTAGTGCTGGCTATTTAAAAAAAAGAATATAAAACAAGTACTCAATGGAGCATGTTTTGATTTAAAAAAAAAAGCATTCAAAGCTGGGGTCTTTAATAACATGTAGACCTACTTTTAGTCATAATTGACTTGTTACATTTTTGAGAGTGAAAAGGATCCTAGTTACAAGTTTAAATTTTGTATTTTGAAAGAAGGAATGTCATAACTTCAGTGTGTAGGTAATCATCTGTCCAGTAACCTAGAGCCAGTGATACTGGGAAGTCGTTTGGTTCTCAGTGGTTACGGTTAAACATGTATCCTTTGCACAGTGGTGTTATGTTATCATGGATGTAACTAAACAATTTGAGTGAATAGTCATGTTATCTTAGAGTTGTTAACACTCTTCCCCTTTATGAATGTTGATGTTTGCCTGTGCCTAGAACTAAGTAAACTTAGTAAATGTTGAAATATGTCATTTTCTTCTATAATTGCCCAGAAATCCTCACCTAGCCTGGGTCAGGATTCCATGTGATAGCAACTATCAAGATAAATGTTTATTTTTAATCACCACATGCACAGACAAATATGCAGCCAAGTTATCCTCTGGAAGGAAAGGAAAGGAAAGTATTTTGTTTGGAGAACCTCTGGCAAACCGCATGTCATTTGTCATATCTGATTTATTACCACAGGATCACATTACAGGGGAATTTCAAATCCTATAACAACATCCAAGATCACATACTTTAAGAGGAAGTATGTGGAAGAAGAGGATTTTCACCCACCACTCAGCAGCTGTAGCCATAAAGTATGTTTTCTTAATAGTCATTATTTTTATTAAGAGTTTAAGATACTTAAGTAACAGTTGCTTGATCCAGTTCCAGAAATTAAATTGTTTCACCCAAGCAATGAACATGAGCCACTTCTCAGTAGAGCCACATTAATCGTTGTCACTTTTTTGGGCCCTGTGTTATTTTTCATAAGTACTTGGAGAGAGAGCCAGAAAGAGATCTTTTTCCCCTAGAAATAACAAAATTATATAAGCCAACAAATGTCTTCTTTGCTTATGATTTAATATTTCCCACGTAGTGTTAAGGGTTACAGGGATTCTGCTCTCTCCGTGAGTGGGGGAGGCACTCCGTTCTTTCCTTGCCTGCTATCCGCGGTCCAAGCTCTGACTCTCGTGGTGCCCATGGGGGGCTGTCCTGACCTCTTGGGGGCAGACTCACCATCTCGTGTGCTTGCTAGGAGGACAATGTGCTTCATTGGACATTCACGACATACGTTAAGTTTGTTGAAATATAGAATTCATTCCCAGGAGAGACCAAAGCTAACTTGTATGTGTGAGGGGACTTTCAAAAAGTTCATGGAAAATTAACATTATCTTTAAAAATGTTTTTTAAATTTCTTTGAAAGGCAGAGAGAAACAGAGACAAGGATAGGATCAGGGAAAGAGATGGAGATTTCCCATCTGCCAGTTCAGCCAGCAGGACAGTGCCAGGCCCAGACCAGAAGAGAGACTCAATCCATGTTTCCCACGTGCGTGCCAAGGACCCAGCTGCTTGGGCCGTCACCTGCTGCCTCCCAGGGTGCACAGCTGCAGGAAGCTGGACAGAGAGTGGAGCCAGGACGGGAACACAGGCACTTCACCATGGGCTGTCTTAACCCGTACACCAAATACCTGTCCCTGGCATTATGTTTTAGTTCTCTGCATCCACAAACTTTCTGAAGCTCCCTGGCACAGTAGGAAGATAACAGGATGCGGGAAAGTGCTTGGCACTAGGAAACTGGGAAACTAAGCTTCTGAAATAGTCGATTCTTTTTTCTTGATGCCTTCCCTGAAAGAACTATCTGTGATTAAATCCAGGGGGTATAGCCCCAGACCATAATTACCTGAAATGCAGGTAATTTTCCTGCATTTCATTTTCAGTTCATTTTCCCCTCTGCCTCCTCCTTCATCTCCTCCGTAGCCCCCATCCTTTCAATGTTGGTGTGAGCCTGCGTCCACAGACACTGGGCTTTGCCCTGCACGTGGAGTCCCTCCACGGATCAGTCTGGACTCGGTTAGTTCACAGCTCCCCAGGTTATGCCATCCGCTTGCTTCTCCCGTGACCTCGGTGAACTGGTCCCGTGCGTTGCGTTCCTTCTCAGTTTCTGCGCAGGGCTGTGGCTGTGGCTGTCTCACGGCCCAGGAGCAAGTCCTCGCTTTTCCTCTCTGCATCTTTTCTCCTGCCTGGCCCCTACAGGAATCCTGCCCCCTACAGGAATCCTGCTTTGGTCCTGCTGAGCCTCAGGAATCACTGTTGTTCTCGTCTCTAACAAGAGTCGTAACCCAGAGGGCTAAACGAGGGACAGCGCTGAAAGCCGGTTCCTCGTAGGCTGGAGCAGGTGTGCAGTATGCCCCTTATGACCTGCATCTTGGCATTTAAAAAAAAAAACGCTTATTGGTGTACCATCTCTGACTGTATGTGTCTGTGTGTGCATGTGTGTCTGTTTACATGCATTGAAAAAAAAACCACGCATCATAGTATGGCTCGATGAATTTCACCGAACTTAGCCTTGCCAGGTAACCATCATGCAGCCAGCAACCAGAATCCTTCCTTGCACCCATTTCTAGTCACTGTACCCTGCTCCCCAAAGTAGCTGCTCTCCTGGCTTCTAATAGCTTACGTTCCTGGTGCGTTTCGGCATCTTTCCCATTGGCTTATGAAAGAGTGAGCACCTGGCGGGGCCCTGCGGAGGCCCCTGGTGCTTGAGCACACGGTGAGTCAGGAAGGGCCCAGGAGCCCCTGTGGGTGAGGAAAGAGGACTTCAGCAGCCCCGGGGACACCATCTCTAAATGAGCCACAGGGAACCTAGGCCATAGCCTTCCCAGACCCAGACACTGCTGAGAAAGTACCGCGATTCTGCTGATACCCGTACGGAGTCCATGTCCTAAGCCTTCTCTCCCTGTTTTTGATTTTTAGACCATCTCAATTTTTGAGGAACGAGCCCACATCCTTTATATGTCCTTAGAAAAGCTCAAGTTTATTGACGACCCAGAAGTGTACCTCCGAAGGTCTGTCCTTATAAACAATTTGATGAAAAGGATCCACGGAGAAATCATCATGCAGAATAACTGGTGCTTCCCTGCCTGCTCCTTCAGCGGCGCCTCCGCCCAAGAGTGGTTTATGACGCAAGACTGCCCTTACCGAAAACGACCCCGGATGGCCAAAGAGGAGTGTGAGAAGTTCCATGCCTGCTGCTTCTACCAAGAGTGTGGTGGTCACTACCTAAATTTACCCTTCTCTGTCAATGCTAATGTCGGAAGTGCCTCCAACACCGCCTCCTCTTCTTCCTCTTCCTCTTCCTCTCCCCCTCTACCATTACCGAGTTGTTCCCACCAGGTGGATTTTGATGTAGGCAGTGCACCTGTGTACAAGAGTGATGGCCAGATACCTGCCAATGAAATCTTTGTTACTAATGTCAGGTCACTAAATGATGAGAAAGCAAATAATGACACCAGCAGAGATGGTGGCCCCCTCAGCCATGAACCTGTGGGAAATGACCTTGCTTTTGAGTGCAAAGGCCAATTTTATGATTATTTTGAGACTGGATATAATGAGAAAAACAATGTCAGTGAGTCTTGGAAAAAGTCCTTAAGGAAAAAGGAGCCTTCACCGAGTAGCAAACTGTGCTGCAGCAAAGGAAGTAAAATATGAGCCATCTTTGCCCCAAAACTTTGACGCATGCCCAGCATGATCAATTAGCTCTCATAAATTTTATTTTGAATGGATTTTATAGTTTTGTACAACTGATAAAATTATGCCATGAACATGCCGTGTCATTTTAATGCCTGAAGAGCAGATTGCATAAAACATCTGTAAAGTAGGCATCAGTAAGCTACTTATCAATGTGGTGATTTTACCAAGAAAACAGTTGACTTAATGCAGAAGAGTGTATCTTAGTTTTCTTACAGAAGAGACAAATAGATTAGATGGGGGGTGGAGACAATGTGCCCCTGTGACATCCCCCAAGGAGCCTGTCACTAGCTAAGAACCTTCAACATGGTTGCCAATTAATTAGATGGTTATTTGGCAAGCCGATCAATGTAACCAGAAAAGGATGTCTGCTTCTTCTACGTGATACAGTTATTTTTTTCTAAAGAAAAGACTGAAGGCAGGGAGCTAGGTGAAATGGCTTCATGGTGCTGTTAAATATTGGTATTTAGCAGTCTTGTGATGTGCAAATGGGATGTGATGGCATGAAACACACCTGTCTCGGGGCGAAAGTCTACAGTCCGTGGAGGCCATGTTCCCTGCAGCTTCCTGACTTGCCTGTGATGGGTGTTGAGGCTTGGAGAGAGGCGGTATACAGGGCGATTCTTGGTGCCTTACTTTATCTTAATTTTTGCCAATGTGAAAATTAAGGATGAATCAGAGTTATAGCAGGGATTTAACAAACAGGAAAAAAAAAAAAACAGGGTGGATCAGTATGGTTTGGGAACTGTTAACTTTGAACTATTGTGTTCAACTTTTGATTCGACATCTCTCTTCTTCCTTTATTTTTGATGCCTGATTGCGTTTGGATTTGGCATTTTTTGATAGGGACGGAGGGAACAATAGGGAGAGCTGTGAGAAACCAGCACTTGCTGCTTGAGCTCTTCTATGGCAATGGCCTGTTGCTGGGGTTTGGATTTTCTGGGTTTTGGGTTGTTTCTCTTTGGTTTGTTTCTTGTCCAATGAAGTTCATGAACCAGTGGCATGCATTATCTTTTCGTCTGTTTTGCATCATTTCACTTGTTTAGATTATCAAAGCATGTGGTTTTTTATATATGACTTTTGCTATTGATTACGAAGCACAATGTTAATCAATGATGTGGTGATCAATGAGGTTTATCTTAAAGAGTGTAAAGATTTTCGTTCTGGGAAAAGTTATTTTGGAGAAATGGGACTTCATCTGTGATAGTGACTATGTATTCGGTCAACATTCTCTGCAATAACATCTTTGATCTGTGCGTTGGCAAGAGTGTTCAGAGTGGCCCTCTGACTTGCCTGCCTTCCGCTCCAGCCAACTGCTCTTGCTACACTGTATTCCAATTTCCAAGCCTACTCATGGACTTGAGCCTCTTTAAACTCCATAGGAACTAAATGCCAAACAGAGGAAATAAGTGAGTCCTCCCAGTTTCTCCAAGATAAAGCTTTTTAAAAGTATTGCTATTAATATTAAATATAGGTCTCATTCATACAGTGTATGAGTTGGATCATTTGGGCAGTTGTCCACAAGGACCAATTTTTGAAACATGTTCTTGTGTTATAGCGAAATAGTCTAGTATTGTTTTGTCCTTTATTTTCAATATTTGATAAACATTTGATGTTGAAAATTTAGATGATAGATGCTTGTATATGAATGTGTTGTAATAAAGTGAGGTTTTCTTGATATATATTTATTAAAAGGATCAAAACTCATTAAGGTTTTTTTTTTTATTTTAGGTGGCTATTGGCTATATTTCTCTTTTCCATTAGTCTCTCCCCTTCATAAAAGTTTAAAGCATCTAGAAACTGTAGTGGACAGCGGCCACACAGGAGTTTTAAAATAAAAGTATTTTAAGAGGCCAATCTAACACATGTTTTGGAATGGTCCTAGCTTATAGGTTTAGATTTCTGTTGATAAAGAAGCACAATGTTAATAAATGATGTGGTGATCAATAAGGTTATATCTTAAAGTTGTAAGCTTTTTCCTTTTTTGGAAAGTTTCTGAAAAAAATGCATAGCACAAAGCTGTGAATACTGAATCCTAGCTAGTTCCCTTATGAAATGTCAAATTTTTTAAGACTAAGAGCCAGCTGTAAACAGTTACAATAGCTACCAAGGATTGCTGATGGTATTCTGTACAATTCCGTATTAATGTTATTCTTGGAAGCTAATATTTTATTTGATAAAGGGAGAAAGCAAGTTGAAAGCTCATGAGCTTATGAATTTGTCACATGTAGCATTCTTATTAAGAGTATCATACCTCATGGAAATTTAAATATGGAAGATAAGACTTAGGCTTTTGCTTTTTCAAAGCTCCTACCGTCGCCAGTGTTTTTCCTGATGGCCAAAGCTGTACAGTGAGAAGCTGGTGATGGTGGATAGGTCTCAGCTGAGCTGGCGGTGCTGCTCAGTGGAAGCCACTAGAACTGCATCTTTGCAGAATGAGTGGTGCCTTCCAACCCAGGAACATAAACATGTGTTGTATCCAGGATATTTCCAACACCTAAAATAAACTATTTTTCTTTATGAAAAAAGAATCCGTGACACCAACCTATTACAAACATTGTCCTGTGGCTAGTCGGAGGGCTTCGGGGTCTCTTGGCTCCTACCGTGGCCTCTGACTGTCCAGCTTTGTCATTTCTATTCATGACATCTCCAGTTAGATTATTCTGGGGTGGCCAAGGCTTCCCTTCAGAGTAAGTGAAAGCTATTTGTTGGGTTCTTGAGCCTTGGAGAAGGTGTGATGGCCTCTACTCCCCCAGCCTGCTGACCTCGCCAGCAAGAAGCCCCTCGCATAGCTGTGCTTTGCTTTAAGGAAGGCTTGATGTGGCAGAATCCAAACTTTTAGGCAGATTAAAGGCAATCTTGGCTTATGAAGGTGGTCCTGCTCCCCAGGAGTGCTCTCCCTCTAGGCGTTGAAATCCTTAGCCTGTGTCTCCTGTTCTTCCTTTCTAAAAGTGGGTGCTTGTAGAAGGTGGTCTGCCAGACCCACTTTAGACAGGTAAAGGAATCATGCTGGGTTTCTGCTCCTAAAATCCTGTGGTTCAACACTTCACCTGGAAGGGGTTCTGAGGACTGAATTGCAGGAACAAGAGCCTGGGAGCAAAGTAAACAATTTGAAACCAGCAGAAGCTGCTGTTTAACAGGCAATCAACAATCAGGGTAAAACACCTTTGCATGCTTTGGCCTGACCTTTTAAGACAACACAAATTTAGAGAGCTTTACAAGCTACTTTGTTAAACAAATGCACAAGCAAGTGGATGAAAAGTATTTATTTTTAGAGCTCCTGGTTAACTCTGGCAAAGCATGGCTGCAGCCCCTCCAGTCATGAATTTGATCACTTCCTGTCTGTGTATCAGAAAGAGAGCAGCGAACAACATAGTAGAAACAATATGGGAGTTAGGAGACAACAACTTCACAGCAAACATCAAAGATACAGGATTCCTATGTGATACAGCTGGGCTGAAACTGAGCAGGAAATGTTTTGGGGAAAAATTAGTTGTTCAAATCCACTTTTATGACAGCCCCTTAATCTTTTGAAGTCCTTCCATTTGTAGTTGAGGTTGTCACCTCTCTGCCAGTTTTACTAGGTCCTGTCCAAGACAAGGATTCAGCAGGGCACTAACGATGATGGTTTAAACTAGATACAGGACTGTCCTATGAAGAGAATAAAATCCGTTTTTAAATAATAAGAGATGATGTATGGTTTCTAGTCATTCATTTTATGATTGCTGTGTTTTGGTTCTGCAGTTTAAAATAAATGCGTTGAGAATCTGTAAGTTACTACAAGATGCCTCTGTTGCTTCTTTGAGAGTTACAATGTATAAGCAAGGTATGAGCTCTAAGACTTCTCCATTTTGTATGACAGAGCTATATGACCCCGGGTGAAACAGTTGCAAGTTTAGAGATGGTTTCCAGCCCTGGGTACTTGCCATTTTTTAGTTGGGAGAATGCACTTAGCAAAAGCACTTGCAAAGATGTAAGTTCTGAACACTTGAAGCTCACATCCTGCCATAAAGTGCATCAGCAAGTGAGTTTAATAAAACATGCTGTTTAAAATAGTCTGCAATTTCCTGTTTCTGCGTTTCCCTTCAGTATCTGTGACAAGCTGAAGAAGGATGACTAAACGGAGGGAATTTACACAAGCTAGTCTGGTGATGTTTGCAAACCATCGCCATGAGCTTCATCTTCTTTGGTAAACAATTCTCTGGTGGGCTGTCTATGGTTGGTTTTTTTTTTCCCCCTGGGTGTTGATCCAATTTGTTAATTTTGAAAATGCAAACTACTTATCCATAGCCTGAAAACACCTGCTTTTGACCACAATGAAATGGATAGAAGGGATGGAGATGTATTAGTCATTTCTCATGAAATTTCCCCTATTTCTCAACCCATTTTAATAACTATTCCCTGATTTGAAATGATAAAATCTTAAAAAACACCACGTCTGGGGAAGAGAACACACACACCAGAACTTACAGAGATGTTAAGTTGTGATCTTGGTTCCTGCAAAGATCCCCTACAACAGTGGGCAAATATGAGAACTTGGGAAAGAAGAGGTACAAGGTACTTGATGGCCCTGACTGCCAGGACTAGACCGGGCTTTAGCAACCACTGCCTCCATCCTGATCATTCTATAGGAGGAGCTGAGTCCAGGCATCAGGCATGTTGTGGTCTGCTGCCTCCTCCCACCAGCTCACACACGTGAGTCCCCAGCCCTGACTTTGCAGATGCCCTTGAAGCAATGCTAAGAAATTAAGGTCAGCTGTGGTGTGGCCCGGTCTCCTTGCTATCAGGAGAGGAGTAGATTGCTCTGAAATGCACCTGGCACAGCACTGGCGTATTTAAACCACCTTCAAAGCCCAAAACCCCGCTGTGGGAAGGAAAATGGAAAGCTGGGGAATGACAGACTAGGGGAGGGGTGTTGGTGAGAGGTCAGGGAGCTGCCTTCTGAGTCAGTACAGCGGAGGGAGTCAGAATACGGTGCTCCACACACACTGCGCAATGAGTGCATTTCTTTCAGGAAAAGCCTAAAGACTAAGAAACAAGGCAAAAGTATTTTTCTCTTTCAAACCCGTTATGAAGACAGGAAAAAGCATTTCTGGAACTAAAGGATTTTCTCTGTTTTTTCAGGGAGAGATGGCTTGTTTGCTTTTCTGGAGTTGGGTGGGTTTCTCACCACTGTTCTCCAAGTCCTTACTTATATGCTCTGCTTTGCAATAAACCCACCAAACTGTCTTTAGTGCTAAGAGGAGGCCTCAGCCCAAGGCACTGCTGCCCTGTTGGTTCTGGCACAGAGGCGGAGGGTCTCTCGTATATAGTTGAGGACTGAGAAAGTGGGGTTTAGAACCAGACAGTCGGCCTTGAAATCCTTGTTCTGCCATTGTTGTGCAAATCTGGCCTTGGCCAAAAACCTACTTTTCCCCGGTTTCCTTGTCTGTAAAGTGGGGCGGCACATGGAATTCACCTCATGAGGCTGAATTAAAAGCTCTAATACTGGGGGAGTGTCTTGGCTTTGCCGGGATATGCAATGAGAGTGAGCCTGTGTGACTTTTCCATTGCTATCCATTACTGCCCTGAAGGCCCCAACACTGCCAGACCCTCCTTTAGGTGCAGAGAGTGTTCACTTTCTTGAATTCTGTACAGTGACCTCGAACTTAGGGTCCTCGGGCTCTTAAGCTACTACAATAGTAGGCATTGGGAGGCTGGTGTTGTGGCCCGGGCTTCCCATATAAGAATGCTGGTTCTAGTCCTAGCTGCTCTGCTTTTGATCCAGTTTCCCACTAAAGTACCTGGGATGGCAGCAGAGGATGGCCCAAGTGCTTGGGCCCCTGCCATCCATGTAGGAGACCGGGATGGGGTTCCTAGCTCTTGGCTTCAGCCTGGCTTAATCTTAGCTACTGCAGCCATTTGGGGGAGTGAATTAACAGATGGAAAATCTTTCACCTTTCAAATAAATAAACTCCTTTTAAAAAGGTAGTCATTGGTGTCCCTAAGGTATGTTTAGTATTCCACAAAACCCATTGCATGCTGCACAGGCTAATCCATGTCAGATTTCCTTACCTTTGGCTTGACTAAAATTTATCATCAACTGAGAATGAACTCTGGGAAAATGAAGGCATTTTTTTAAAAAAATTATTTTGTTTATTAGAAAAGCAGAGTTTGTGGGGGATGGGAGGGGACCTTCCATTCACTGGTTTACTCACCAAAAGGTTGCAATGGTGGGGAGCTGGGCCAGTCAGAAGCCAGGAGCTTCTTTCAGGTTTCCCACATGAGAATAAGGGCCCAGGGACTTTGACCATCTTCCTCTGCTTTCCCGGGTATGTTAGCAGGTAGCTGGATCAGAAGTGGAGCAGCTGGAACATGAACTGGTGCCCATATGGGATGCCAGCACTGCAGGCAGCAACTTTACCCTCTATGCCACAGCACCAGCCCCAAGGCATTATTTTTAATAAATGCAATTTGGTTCTATGAATCCTTCAGAACGCTGACTGTGTGGAGAGAATGACAGGTGTCCCTCACAAGTGAAGGGATGAAAACCCACTGACCTCTGACTCATCCCCAGGATTTGCCAAGGTTCACGTTGACTCAGTTACTGTATAGAATGGCTCTCTCCGACCTTGGTTTTATTTGGAAAACAGCACAGTAAAAAGTAAAAGAAACTTGGGGAAGGGAATAATTTAGATTCACCACTGTTCCTCGTGTTGCTGTCCCTGATAATGGGGCCAAAGCATAATTTTCTGGACAATGTTGAGGACATGGCCTATCAAAAATAACTAGGATAGTTTCTACTTATAAAATCTAAGTTCAAAAAACAGATCAGCCAGGGAATGGTTATTACTACAGCAAACTCACATCACTTTCTGTGCTGCCATTAAACCTGAACCCAACAGAGGGTCTCAAAATAGGATGCTACCTGCAAAATTGTGTTTCCATCTCTTTCCGTGTTTCCAGGGTGTATTTTTCTACAAGGTGAGGTATGTCTGTAGTGATGCTGACCAGTAGATCCTAACATGAGAGCAAAACTGAACTATGTGGTTTGGGAATGAGAACTGGGCACAGAGTGTAGTGAAAGCAAAGGCATGGCTGTGCTGTGGGTCCCGGGACTTCCTTGCAACAGGCTCTCCTCCAGCACCGTGGGGCTCTGGGTTCTCATCACTAGCAACAGCAGTTAACATGTGAGCCAGCTGAGACACGCCGTGGGAAGCCAGGGCATGTAGGCTGGCCAGCTCCAAACCCTTGGCCTCTTAGTGTTGGGAAACCCAGCAGCTGGGTTTTTTATGCAGTGATTAGGATTCCAAAGAGTAAGGATGATCAATTAGGATTCTCAACCAGCCCAGCTTTGGCCTAGCTGGTTTTAGCCAAGATGACTGAATGCAAAAGGGACGTGGGGCATCTCTGGGAGCTGAGAATGCCATTCTAGTCTCCACATGGGTGGCAGAAACCCAGTCACATGCACCATCATCGCTCTCTCTCAGGGTCTGTATCAGCTGGAAGCTCGAGTCAGAAGTCAGAGGCAGGAATCAAATTCAGCCACTCTGTTACCGCACGCAGGCGTCTGAGCCACTATGCCAAGCACCTGCTCCTGACTATGCTTATTTTCATTCTAGATCAGACAACGGGAAACTCACTGTAGAATTTTCTGATTCACTGTCTTGGGGTCTACTGTATTGATTGATGGTCAGATGCTATCCCTTGACCACAAGATCACCATCAAGTTAGTGGTTCTTGCCCAGCTCTGCCACCCACTGGCTGTGTCACCGTGAACAAGCCCCTGAACTTCTCTGGATCTGAATCTTCCCTCCATCAGGCAAGGCTGGGCTCAAAACGCCTCTGACATTGTTCTCTGGTCCTTCTAGATTCCAACAACCTGGGCTGTTTCCAAAGATTTTCTCTTGATTTCCTCCTCTTCCCCAGGATGCTGTCCCCGTTGCACTCCCACCCCCCATCCCGCCCCTCTCTTCCCCCGTCAAACAGACGCTGCTTCTGGATCCTTCTTAAAGAAGGGCTCTCTGCAATTTCTGCACATGGCTGCAAACGTATTGTCTATGCTCCAGAAAGGCGCGCTCCTCACCCTCAATCCAGTGAGCTCACACCTCGGCCCAGCCCATTAACTCGGCCTGCCCGGAGCCAGCCGGGCGCGGCACTGCACCCCCCCCCCCCCCGGGCATCGGCTGGGTCTTGCTTGGAGCAGCCAGCGGGCCTGCACCACGCGGGGATCCCCGAACCCTCTTCTCTCCCATGCCGCTGCCTGATGAAAACAGACTTCCCTTCTCTGTTTTATGAAGACAGTCCTTGCAGCTGTGACTATAACTGCTTTTTTTTTTTATTCCATACCAGCCAAGATTATGGTCCCATAACCCAATTAGTGTCATTTGGTGGTGGTCCAAGGGCTCCCGTGCGCGAGCTTTAATTTGGGGATCCCCGGAGGCTGCACTTCACATCTGTAGCCGGCCTGTTCTCCCTCTCCCCTCATTTGCTCGAGGTTTATGGGAGGATTAGCTGTGTGGTCTGCGAGGCGGCTGCCTCTTTCATCCGCTCCGCGCTCGAGCCGCCTTTTACTTTTCATCAAGCCCTGGCACCTGGGCGGGCAGCCCGGGCGACTGGAAGAAATCAGGGGGTGCCCTGCAGGCCGCGTGGGGGAGGGGCACGGGGCAGGGCTGCGGGCCAGGCGGCTCCCCACGCGGCCAGGGCCCGCCGGGCGGGGATCGCGGGCGCCGCGCGGGGTGCCCCCACCCCGCCCCCACTCTGGCTGGCGAGGGCTTCGGGCGCTCATTGTGCAGGCAGCTGGC